ATATGCATGAGATATCAGAGTACTGTACGTACTAGGTGAGATGGGCAGATCGCAATTAAAGGTTTGGTTTGGTTTAATTTGGTTTGGCCCTGTATACATTATACTAGTTTCTGATTATTGGACCACCCTCTGCATGCATATGCAGCTAGCAGTTTTTTGCAATGCAGATCGAGGCAGATAATATTTAGAGATGCAGCCACTACTGTACGTTACTAGTACTACTGTTGCCCGTGTACGTGTGCATGGGCAACTCGTTAAAAACCCTAGCTTTATGAGATGATCCAAGATAGGCCGGCTGGCCATCGATCACTATACCAATACAGGCTTAGAGCTAGCAGGGTACAATAACATAATGCAGGTATGATAATGCATGCAGGCTTATAGCTAGATAACTATTCTGAGCTCTTGAGGGGATGTTCCCTGGTTGTTTACATATCACTTAAATAGTTATGAAAAAATTTTAGAAGATGTATTAATATGTGATATATCACTCCACAAATATGCAACTTAAAATTCAACTTTCACATGTCACAACAAAAAAAAAGAAATTAATTTACAGCTAGTTAACGTATATTTATAGTCAAATTTTATTTTTTTTCGTTGCGATATGTAGAAGTTGAATTTTAAGTTGTATGTTTGTGGAGTGATATACTACATGTTAATGCATCTTCTTATTTTTAAAAAAAAATTATAACTATTTGAGTGGCATGCAAGCAACGAGTGAATGTTCTTTCCAGAGTGTAAAATTTACTCCCGATATACTAGCTCACTATTACTACGCTAGTGGATAATTAGATTTTAGCTATATATCCATGGCATGATAGTCAATAGATATAGCTAGTTTTTTTTTTTGAGTAATAGATATAGGCATATAGCTAGTTGGCTTTACTATTAGCTTTGCTATGTTCGGACATGTTAACTTTTCCTTGAATTCGTCATATTGGTGTACCTACCCCCCCTGCAGGTAATCTGCTTATGTTATGCTCTAACTAGTAAAACCTGCTTTATTTAGATGAGGGAAGAATCGTACTACACATTTGTTGGAAGGACGGACAACGATAATCAATTTCTCTCTTTTTCAACATGGCCATGGAAAGTTTTTTAAGAGTAGGTAAAATAGCAAACTATTAACCAACTATAAATATATTTTAATAAGATAAAAAATGAGAGAGAAGAGCAGCGAGCTACAGATCTGTAGCCAGCTGTAGCACGGACTCCAAGACGCAATATGTGTATGATATGTGGGACCATATATTAATACACTACAAGATAATTGAGCTATTGCCACCAAATTATTACAGCAAAAAATAATTCGTAGCAATATATTATACTATTGCAATGATAATTTTTCTGTGGCAAATAATTATTTTTTATTGCAACGATCTACAATCGTTGTTTTATTTAGTACTTTTGTTGCAATAGAAAATGAGATATCGCCACAAAAAATCGTACTATTGTAAAAAACATGTTCTATCACCACAATTTTAATTTTTGTAGCAATTTATATAGTACATGGTACTTTTCACTATTTTTTGTTGCCACGATCAACAAATTCGTTGCAATAAAAAAAATTGTTATCTCATAATTTAACTTAATTTTTTCATATGGACACGGATTAAGACAAATTTTATATAGAAATTATAGCTCTCGACGAGATCTACAATTTTATAGGTGATAACTTTTTCATTTGAAATCTTTTAGATATTCAAATATATGATTCAAATCTCAGTTAACTAGGCTCAAATGGAACGATATGTATTTTCCAACAGAATTGATGCGTAGGTGAGTTGGTAAAGGAGAGCACACCTGAAGGACAGGTCTTGGGTTCGAATCCTATCTAAGACACAAAATCAAAAAGATAAGTAGATAAATAGATAGGATGATAGATTAATATTTGTACTTTTAATTTGGTACGTAAAACTAATGCTACATATGGAGTGGTGGCAATAATTTTTATTACAACGATGCGAAGTGTTGCAATATGACTTTTTGCCACATCCATTCCGTGGCAACATCTAAATTTATTACCACAAAATAAAAATCGTTGCAATAACCTATTACCACGTTGTTTATTACCACGGCTAGCAACGATCTTACAATTGTGGCAACATGTATCTATTGCCACACTTTTAGTATTGATGCCACGATTTTTTTTGTGGCAACAAATGATTTTTCTAGTAGTGATAGTATAGTAAACAACTATTGTATAACTTGGCTATTAAATTGGCTATAGATGAATTGGAGCTAGTAGTGGGCTATACTATTAAAATTGCTCTAATATGATTTGACAGACGTTTCTAGGGCTCTTATTCGTCCGAACACTTGACCCTGACTCCACATTAACGACTGTCCTTCCACCCAATTCCCCACATCCTTGCATCGCATCTCCAACCCCTACCTCCACGCATCCAAGGGTGCTACAAGGCTACAACACTTCCAACTTGTTTAGTTCCAAAATAATTCTTCAAACTTTCAACTTTTCCATCACTTCAAAACTTTCCTACACACACAAACTTCCAACTTTTTCGTCATATATTTCTAATTTCAACCAAACTTTCAATTTAACCAAACTTTCAATTTTGGTGTGACCTGAACACAGCCGTCACATCGCCACCACCAGAGTTCAAAAACAAAGCTGGGACGTAATCCCGGGCGTGACGAGTAAAAATCCAAAATTTAACCATTCTGATTTGCCATGCGTGCATCGACGTGTTTTTCAAGCTACTAGCTACTAGTAGTACGATATGTTTAATGTTCAGGCACAGTTCGAAATCTGCATGGATCGATATCGATGCATTCCATTTAACATCGTATCGTCGGACCAGGTCTCGGTTCGCAGTGGCTGAAAAAGCACGAGGGGTTGTTTAGATTTAGGGGTGTAAAGTTTTAACGTGTCACATCGGATATTATATAGGATGTCGTATGGGGTATTTGGACACTAATAAAAAACTAATTACAGAATCCGTCAGTAAACCGCGAGACGAATTTATTAAACCTAATTAATCCGTCGTTAGCAAATGTTTACTGTAGCACCACATTGTTAAATCATGGAGTGATTAGGTATAAAAGATTCGCGTCGCAAATTAGCCGTAATCTGTGTGTTTAGTTATTTTTTAGTCTATATTTAATACTTTATGCAGGTGTTGAACGTTTGATGTGATAGGATGTAAAAGTTTAGAGTGTGATCTAAGCAGGCCATGAATCACTAACGAGGCAACAGCGGCGTGCACTGTGGAATCGACCAATTGATCGATCGATCATAGGTCTCGGTGGATGATGAATTTGGATTGGCGGCCGGCAAATCACGCATGTAGCAAAAAGGAGGAAGCAGCGAACCAAAAGTCGGACACAGGCATGTCTGAGATAGATACAAATTAACGGCCGGTCTTTGTAGGCAGTCAACACCTAACAGTAGGATCGATCTAAACCTATAGATGTAAGGAGACATATATACTGTGTATCTAACGTACAGTACACTGTATTACAACATATATAAAACTAGGTGATACCTCGCGCTTTGCTGCGGGATTCATGTATGAGTATATGTTAAATATGTCGAAATGATGAAAGTTAATGTTGAGAAAATAATGCGAGGAAGATGATTTGACACATATTTGTTGATCTCTGTAGTATAATATTATAGATGATGTGTTATGCTTACATGAGATTTAAAATAGGCTAGAATAGTAATTGGTAGTAAGTGAAGATGTGGCATGCTTGTATAGGTTTTTAAATGGGCTAGAATAGTAATGCTAGTGGATGATGATACGGCATGTTTGCATGTTGAACTTTAGCTTCTAATAATTATCAGTGGGTATCAATTATATAGAAAGTATATATACTACTTTCGTCTTATTAAAAAAGCAACTTCAGACTAGGAACCTACGTTCAGATTCATGTTTAGAAATTGGTTCTACGTTCAGATTCATGTTTAGAAATTGGTTCTTTTATAGGACGCAAGAAGTATATTGGATAACCTCCATCATCGGTATAAGGGTCGTATGGTGTCAGTGCGGGGGGTGCCGTCACTATTCAGAACCTTAGAAATTAGAGACCCCAAATCTTAATTACATGAAGCAGTACTAAGCATACTTAATTAGTGATATGGTTAAAATATTAAAGCCCAGAAGGTCCGGAGTATGACCCAGAGCTAAGGCCCTGTTTAAAATTTTTCACCCTCTCATATTGAATGTTTGGACACATGCATAGAATATTAAATATAAACGAAAAAATAACAAATTATACATATTACGTGTAAATTGCAAGACGAATATTTTAAGCCCTAATTGCTCCATGATCTGACAATATGGTGCTGGTAATGATGGATTAATTAGGCTTAATAAATTCATCTTGTAGTTTACAGGCGGATTCTGTAATTTGTTTTGTTATTAGTTTACGTTTAATACTTCAAATGTGTATCCGTATATTCGATATGACACGCCAAAACTTTACACACCTGAATCTAGTCACAACCTAAAAGTGGAACTTAAAGAGTAATACCTAAAGCTAAATCGATTACCATAATCACATTTTACAAGTTTTTGTGATTTGCCATCTGCCTTTCTACGTAAAACAGTCAATCTCACCTACTTCTAGTAGAAACATTTTACAGTTGGGCCGAGTTTAGTTTCAAATATTTTCTTGAAACTTCCAGCTTTTTCATCACATCAAAACTTTTCAACACACGTAAACTTTTAACTTTTCTATCACATTATTCTAGTTTCAACCAAACTTTCAATTTTAGCGTGAACTAAACACACCGTTGGTAGAAGTAACAGTGCTAGCTTCCCTTCATGGCTTCATACAATACCGTTGATTCCTCGGACCCACTTACCACAAACAGAACTATACAGAACATTAATTACTACTCTGTATTTACTACTCGGCCCTTAATTACTCTGCGGGCCTCCCCAGCTCTACAATTTATGGGCTGGCCCATCTGTCTCCCAGATATAAGATGTGCCCCTTGCAAAAAGACATTGATATAAGATGGACCAAGGTGACAAAACGAAAAATTGAGGCTCAGTGAACTGAAAATAATCTGGTGAACTATGTCGATTCCTGGTTACATTCCCTGGCATATTTACAACATGTAGTATATATACTGGTCTAGCTGAGAGTAGCAGATTCAGGAGTCAAAAGACCAGGCTCTGGTGAAGTAATTACAAGTTTACAACCTCCTATGATAGGACAGCCGAAGAGTGACTCAAGCTGCTTTATACGCAAATGTTGGTCGCGACTCTTGTTCCTCATCTTCCGCTACCATCCAATCTAGCTTAGGGCCCTAAAGCAGGAAAAGGAAGACATAAGGGCCTCTGTGCATTTATACAAACCGCATAAAATGCAGTTGAAGCATCCAGTATTAGCTAATTATGCCAATCATAAGTCAACGAAATAGGTCACAAATATGAAATAGATAAGCATTACGAGATAATACATAACGGTGTGTTTAAATGCAGTACATATCATTTGCCAAATGTCAGGGGATAGAATGAGAAATTTCCTTTTGCTTGATAGTATAGTCATATGGTAGGATAACTTTAGTCCATTAATGAAAATGCATACCTTTCCCTGACGAATGATGGTAGGGTAGCTTCCCGTCATATCAACCACAGTAGACGGGTCAGCAATTCTAGTACCTCCATCGACAATGAAATCAAGGCCCTGAAAATGGAATCACCAATTAATGAAGCGTATCACGCCAATTTGTGTTTCAGCATGACCCAGGAATGGGTACACAACTGCACATCAAAGTAACGCAGAATGGACGCTATGATAGTTTTACTAGACATTCCAAGCAGTTCGTTACAATTTTTACCTTTTTACATATAATTACATCAATCATATTTAGTAAAAAATAGCTTCATGTGAAAATAGCCAGCAACTGCAACTAACAGAGTCACACCCACAATTGTTTTGTAAGTCAGGACTTTTTGCTTCAGTTACTACCATACAAGCCAGAGCTGCAGAGCAGATCATAGAGACAACTTGTATAAAAAGCCTAGTAGATGATAACTATGAAATCTACAATAACGGGTCAGCATGTACTAATAACAATATCACCTATAATTCTTTATAAGAAAACAACAAATGACACTCTTTAAAAGATCAATACAGTGGAAAGTGTAACGCCATTGATACACAAAAGCTCTTTTAATAAGATCATAATGTGCATAGTTTCTAGTGTATTGATGGAAGTGAAGATATATACCTGTTGCTCATATATATCAGCAATGATAACCGGGTCAAGTATCCATTCATCCTCTGACAGAGATTTGACACTGTAAATACAGGAAAAGGAGTATGACTATGAGTATATTGTTTAAGAAAGAAAAGTTGATAACACGACATCTCGATCATTATCAATTCCTCATTCCTTTCAAACGCTAAAGAAACCTAAGCTCCAGAAATTACTAAAAAAAAGAGAGCACAAGAAATCTCCGTTCGTTTTTAACTGACAAGACCAAAACAGAGAGGTACATATGCACGATATAGTATTGTGAATGTTCAAACATGCCAGCAGAAAAAATAAAGTACTTTCTCCAAACTATTTGATGGTATTATAATTCAGCAATATAACACAGCATGTCACTACATAGAGCAGGAAACAAATAAAGTAAATAAAAAAAGGTAGTTACAGCCTAGACCAACCTTGTGCAGATCAAAGGCTCATCAAGATTTTGCAATATTGCTTCACATATGGGGTCATCTGGAAGTCGGACACCAACCTGCCTCCTTTTCGCGTACCTAGTAGATGATCCATGCCTTATGCATTGTTTGGGCAATTCCTTGGTTGCAGGTAAAATAAAGGTGTACTGCACAGGATTAAATAAACAGGTCATTTGTGAAGTACTACAAAACTATGGCCAAGGGTGAAAAGAAGATATGCTTACAGGCCCAGGTATTACACGCTTGACAGCACGAAATATGTTAGCTTGCCCTTGGTTAGTGCCTCGAGGAAATCCGGTTGTGTAGGTATCAATGTCTCGTAGCGAGCGGCACAAGATGCTGAGAGGCTGCACAATTCAGAACTGGTATAAATACACAGAATCTACAAGTAGGAGGAACTGCTCCCAGGTTGTGTTTTGCTTGAGAATAATCATCAAACTCGTACAAAAACATTTTTTACGTCTTTGCATATCTTGCCTTTGAATCTCCAATGCCTTTGATCCTGAACAAGATAACAAATCACAAATCCCCGTTAGAACTGAAATGCATGCTTGCTTCTGTTATTCAACATACTAACAGATCAAAGGCTCAGTTGTACCTGCGAAGGCGCTCGACAGAGTCATTGTTACTGAGATCACAGACGATGGAGTAGCTGGAAAAAATGATACTATAGGTATTATTTATGTTCCCAGTGCATTATGCAAAACAATAAGAGATGGAAAATTCAACAGCACATTTATGTATCTAAATATGGTCAAACAAAACGCACAACGAATTAGGACCAATGCAAGCTACTACTATCAGTCTTCTATAAGTTGATTTTGAGTGGAAATCAAGGCTTAAATCACAACATTTGCAGAGAAACTATTCAGAGATTGCTGTGTCTGCCCATTGACGAGCATGTACTTGAATGGGCATGCCATACTTAATATTGAGTGGAAATGAAAGGCTTAAATGACAACATTTGCAGATAAGTTATTCAGATATTGCCGGCGTCTGCCCATTGCCAAGCCAAGCATACACTTAAACGGGTGCACCGTGGGTATCAACTATCAACCGCAATTCTGCAAAGTCGCGGAACGCCACCTCACTAAACTAGACAGTGGCAGACTCCTAGACAAGCAAAGCAACCAGACGAACACGCGGTGAGACTGAAAGCGGTGGGCGTACACGGTGTCGGTAGGGATGATGCCGACGGCGCCGCGGTTGATGAGTTCGACGACGGGCTCCAGCTTCCACGCGTCCTCGCCGGATGGCTCCACCTGCACCCGCAGCATCCCGGCATCCCCTCTCTACACACGCCCCCACCCCCACCAATCACCACCACCACCACAACACAAGTTCAGCACACTGGAGTTAGCCGCGACGGCGACGAGCAGCGGATAGAGAGAGAGAGAGAGAGAGAGTACCGTGAACTGGCGCTGGGAGGCGTACTTGAGCCGCTTGGGGTTGCGCTTGTGGAGGGCGACGACGGCGAAGGAGGCGCGGTGGGGAGGAGGCACCGCGGGGAGGCGGAGCTGCGAGGAGGAGGAGGAGGAGGCGGCGCGGCGGAAGGGGAGGCGCGAGGAGGACGCGGCGGCGGCGGCGGCGGTCGCCGTGGCGGTGGCGGTGGCCATCGGAGAGGGTCGGGGTTGGGTTGGGTTGTCGCCGAGTGGGGGAATCCGCCGCGGTTTATGCCGTTCTCGTGATCGAATCCACGGGCGGCGCGTGCGTTGGGCCTTGGGCCGCACAAGGCTTCACTCAGCCCACGTATTTTTCTCGTGGGCTCTACGGTGAAGTCCACGTATTTTAGGAAGGAATGAACTATGGAAGAATTTTGTAGAAAGCTTATAGGAATTGTCAGCATGAAAAAAATTCCAATGGAAACCTAATTGTATTTTAGGAATTACTGTTCGAGATGAACGTTTCAAATCTACAATTTTAAAGAAAAAAATTGCAAAAAAAAAACACCCCAAATGTCATCCCGAGTTGAGTTTAAGGTTATCTCCTTGTTGCATATACTCTTTAGAATTCACATTGATTTGGGATTCCTGCTATTGTTTGGTGTTTTTTCCCTCTTCATGCATACTAGTATGTTGTATTACCTAGCATATTCCTTAATAGAAATGGCCTTAAACATATTTATTTCTTAGCAATACCAATACTTATATTGAATCTAACAAAAAAAACCTAACAAATGTCGAACCCTGCGAAACAAACGCAACAACTCATCTCTTCGTCGCTTCGATGTGTAAGAGTGGAGACTCATGATCACCGTCGTTCATTGACGTGCTGAACATTATGACTTTTATGAGTAGGCATGCATCTGCAACGGCAATATCATCAGCCCTGTCTGATATGAATGGCGACCACATCTCCTTACTCGTGAGCGTATGTGGGATTTGCAGCTATGATGATGAGCTAAGCATATAGGTAATTGGGTGAAAAAGAAGAAATAGAAAAAACATAGCATATAAAAATGTACAACAAAGAATTACAAAAGCACAGGACAACCGTTGGAATGACCATTTGATTGGGTCGCAGAAAAAACATTGAAATTTGAGGAGAGATAAAGAATTAAAAAAAAATCTTTTCATGAGATTATACCTCATGTTAAATTTCCTCTAAAATTTGTATGGAAAGATACATTCCGAATTTTTATAGGGTTCGTCTCTCTTTGATTCAAAGGACTACTAGTCTATCAAACAAAAAGGCAAAGGCCCTCTTCGTTTTTGAATTAAAATGGCATATTTTTCAAACTGCTAAACGGTATATTTCGTGCGAAAACTTTCTATATGAAAGTTATTCTAAAATATAAGATTAATCTATTTTTCAAGTTTGTAATAATTAAAACTCAATTAATCACATGTTATTACCATATCATTTTACGTGAAACACTTAATCTTCATCTTCAGGAGATTCAAACATCACCAAACTCTACCTACGAGTTCGTAGTTAGGATTAAATTTTTTTTGGGATGGATAGGGTATGTAGGAAAATTTCATATAGAAATGAAATCCTCTAAAATTCATATGAATTTCATTTGAATAAAGGAGCCCGAATTAGGAGAGAACATTTGTAACAAACGGTCATATAAGAGAAAATAAACTCAGGGTTTTTTATGATTTCCCCAAATTTTTGTAACGAGATTCGATAAATTTCGAAAAAAAATGTGTCGAGCCGCGGCTAGGTGAAAATTCGCATACATTTCACATTGCCTTACGAACACAAACAAACCCTCCCGGCTTGTTTGGCAACTTGAGAGAAGAGGATTGGGAATTTACACGAGGGAATTGATGGTGAGATTAAGATGAGAATTTAATTTTTTATTACAGTCTCTTGTTTGGTAGAGGTGGTGGAAATTGATAGGGAGTTTAGTTGAAGATTAGATCATTAATGAAAACGGATGGCTGAGATTTGTTTAGCGAAGTAAATGAGAAATTCCCTCCCAATTACCTGCCCCTACCCAGATATTGAAAAAGAGGGAGTTCATTTCTCAATTCCCCATCTCTATCAAAAAAAATCCTATATCCTATAACCAAACAAAATGGTTAATATAGCATCATCCTCTGAAACTCCCAATCCCTCGTAAAACCCCCTCCAACCGTCCCAAAACCACACCAAACCACGCCACGCCCCCCTCCTCCGACTCTCCGGCCACCGCCCGCCGCCGGCCGCCCTAGCCGGCGCAAATGCCGGAGCCGCAGGCCATCCTCCCGCTCCGCGCGCTCCCGCCGGACGCGCCGCTCCCGCCCCCGCTCCCGGCGCCGTTCCACTCCCCGTCCACCCCCGCCGCCGCCACCGCCACCGCCACCGCCACGCCCGCCACCGCCACAGCCACGCCGGCCACGCCCCCCAACCCGCCCGCTCCCCCCGCCGCGCCGCCGCCCACCTTCTCCTCCTCGCGGCCCCCGCACCCATGGGAGATCGCCGCGCGCGCCTGGCTCGAGTCCTTCCCCGACGGCCGCCCGCCCACCGAGGCCGAGGTCGACGCCTACATCGACGTCCACCGCCCCGAGCTCCCCTCCCTCCCCCGCTCCCAGCTCCACCAGCGCCTCCTCGCCCTCCGCGGCGACCAGGTAACCCCCTTCTCCTCGTGTTACCCACGGGAGATTCGCACATTGCTTACGGGATTATCAGGTGTATCCATCGATTTTAAGTCAAATTGGATCGATTAGCTTGGGCACTTAACCATAATGGAGATTCTGGTAGCGTCTGGGTTGAGCAATTTTTTGTATCAGTCAAGTGGAGTCTGTTTGTGAATGTTCAGTTGCTTGATTGCTACTAGTCATGGAACAGGTCTGTCAAGTATTAATGTATGTTATCATGCTAGAAAGGCTGATGGACTTCAGCCCTTTGAAATGGATCTGTTCAGTGTTGATATGGCTGATTTGCCTTTCTGAATTGCAGAATAGCTGAACTGGGACAGATTGGAACTGTTAGAGCTAATTAAACATTTGAACTCTTTGCCTCTTTGGTTAACGATGTTTGTGAGCTTCCTAGGGTTTCTATCATGTAGAACTGCTGTTCGCCAGGCCTGTTGGATTTAGCTGTTTACCAGATTTTTCCAATTGATCACTGATTCAGACTGACATTTTATTTTCACCTATGCGTAGGTTTTAGATGCAGACCAAAGTGCTTTCCCGTATAGGTTCCAGCGGACTGATCTTTGGAAGCCTGTGTACAAGTGGTTGGAATCTCTTGAGCTAGAGTCGCTAGTTACATCAAAGGAGATATCGGAGTGGCTTACATCAAACCCACAGATAATGGACAGGTTGGTTGAGAAGCATTCAAAATATCATTTGATACACTACACCCAGAGGATGCACTTGAAGCTTCTGAAGAAGAGGGGGAAGATACCGAAGGTACATAATTTCTGATCCACTTTGATGGGGTAGTGCAAAAAAATGTTATATTTTCGCTCTATTTCCTAAAGGTGTTGCTAAGCAAAGGATAAAATATTTATGATTTTTTCATAAAGGCCTATCAAAAGTTAATTATATTTTCTAGTAGTTGGTATCTTCTTATTGCTGAATGTTCTACCCATATTTAGCACCCGAGTATTCTTCCTTTTTTCATTTTATCTCTGTTTCTATTATTATTAGCTTACGATAGCAATTGGAAAGAACCTATGGCACACCGATATGCAATATAGTTATATGGCTGTAATGATACAGTAGTTTCCCTAAAGCACCAATTTGGCAGTTCAGATGTATGTGTGTGTGTATTTAAAAGAAGGAAGTTGATAATGATGGGTAAGAGTTAAGTGCAGTCGATACCGCACATGTAAGATTAAACATTAGTCTGTAAGTAGGAAAAACTGTTCCAATGTTCCATAGAGCATAGCACAACTTCACAAACCATAACATTATGCACCTCAAAGAAATAGATATGTGCAGTAGTTTGTGTCTTTGGTGAGGGTGGTGGCAGACTGGTGGCTTGAGAATGGTAATTACAGTTAGACACTGGGCCTCAATTAGCGAGATTTTATGTCTATTGTACCATATATTTATATGCTATTTCTACATACAAAGATCTGGTTATATTGAGGTGTTGTTATGTCACTTTGGCGGAGCATTTGTCTATCATACTAAGGCTGAGTTCTTTCCCAAACTTTCCCAATTCACCTCCCTCGTTTTCCGCACGCACGCTTTTCAAACTGCTAAACGGTGTGTTTTTTGCAAAAATTTTCTATACGAAAGTTGCTTTAAAAAATCATATTATTCCACTTTTTTTAAAAAAAATAGTAAATAAATTAATCATAAGAAAATGCGTCGCTCCGTTTTATGTGCGCCCAACCTCACCTCCCGAACACAGCCTAAAGAATCCAGTCTCCTCCAAAGGAGCACCTATTATTATTTTACAATGAAGGAGCACTAGGTTTTTTTTTTTCAATTGGATTACTTCAGGGCTCAGGCAGTTGCTTTTCAAGGAATTATTTGAAGTAATTGTATCTCATGTAGCAATTTGATGCCAGTTTATTGCATAGACTCATGCACACTATATTGCAATCATTTTTCTATTTTCACAAGTGTCTCTTTTAAATATATCTTGCTACACCGTTGGTTCCTTGCAAATAATTATTTTGTCCTTGCTCTTACAATTCTTGAATTGGCATCTTTGTTGTCCCTTTTCTAAGATGCTAACTTTACATTATTTGCATTTGGTCAACAGAGTCTACAACTTTCTGCGGCTAGAGCCACGGTCCCAGCGAGTGCTTCTCCAGTTACCCCACAAGAAAGCACACCAACTGTGAGGAAATCTCTACCTCCAGTGACAGGTTATCCTTTCAATGATTTTGCATTTGTTTCTTGAAGTGACGTTTTCTCATGGTCTTCTAAATAATACAGCATCCTATTTGTTTTCCAGGTGTTAGTGCAAGCAGATTTGTGGGCGGCGATGCTCCTATAAGGGACAAGAAGATGTCACTATCCAAAAAAAAGGAAGCTTTCCTTAAATATGAACTGTACGTCACTCTTAGCTTAGCTAACCCTGGGTTATACCTCTGTTTGGTTTTTTTAATTGCTTGCACTAAAATATTAATAGTCGTGTTTCAGTTTGACAGACTTGCAGAATCAGTTGACCAGTGTGTTGTTAAAGAATCGCCGCACTGTTGCTATTAAAGAAACAGATTTTCAGAAGCCAGAGACTAATGTA